AATACGGTAGGGCGAGCTGACAAGGCCACATACTATCCAACTATACATGGTTGTCTACAGACCTCTTATAGAGTGTACAACTATATAAAGGATGGGACTCGACCCCGTCATACCCATATATATATGAGTATCGTACCAAAACTCAATATCAGCTCCGGATCAAATGGAGCACACCAAATCTCGCTGAGCAAGGATCTTAAGAAGGGGACTGTCAGCCAGTCGGGCCTGAAAAAATTCAAGCGATCTTTTCGTAGGCGTTTGCCCCCGATTCAATCGAAGGATCGAATTGATAATAAAAACATGAGTTTAATTAGTCGATATATTAGTGAACAAGAAAAAATATTATCAAGACGAAAGCCAGGAGCAACCACTAGCCTGGACTGATTGTAAAGAAAGAAGCCAAGAGGTTGCTAGACAAAGGGTTCCTTTTTCAAGTTTGTTGTTAAAACAAATTGCTCCAAAAAACAGAAGGGAGAAACTTCATTTTTATCATTTATATTGGTCAATTTCAGCAACTTAATTGTTCCTTTCAAATATGGGCTTTTTCAATCAATAGAATTATTGAAATACTATAATTGAAAACTAACTTTTCTTTTAATCATTAATATTTATTACGCCTGCCAATATTTAAGTTCAATGAGTTCACGCTTTAAGGTTTTTAACATTGAATTAATTATATTTTTTAAGTTGTAAGTTCATATTTACTATTTATTGTAATTTTTATAAATTTTTACGCATTAATTTATGCTCTATACCAAAAGTATTGGATTTATTTCACATACCAACAAGCTGCATCGACTCGGTGTGTACATATTTAGTCTTTTTTGCTATGTATACCAACAATTAATATGTATTGGTGGAAAAAAGATATTACACGTGGAACTAACAGTATAGCGACAAGTGGTGCTTTCACTGAATGAAATTAATAATACAAGAAAAGTGCGGGAGAAACACCCATGAGATAATACAGAGAAGAGGACTGGGCGTGACATCTATCAAAGAAGAGGTATGAACGAAGTGAATGGAAGTTAAAAAGAAGGGAAGATACATGAATCAGAAGTAAATAAGGAAGGGGAACCTGAGCAGATACAAGGAATCTATAGCTATAGGTATGTCAGTTACGGTTATCTATGGTAATGGTTAAAATAGCACGGGTTAGCCAGTTTTTGGACTGATCATTCAAAAATAGCCAGCGTTTGCAAAGTTATTAAAAAATAGCCACTATTTTGCTGCAACACGGAAAGTTCTAGTATAATATAATGGAGATCAGTGCACCTGTGTATAAAATTCCACCATATTATGCTGGAACTCCAACACGCAGAAAGTTCCAGGATAATATACGGGAGATTGGAGCACTATATTATGCTGGACCAATATATTATACTGGAACTTCAGTATATTATACTGGACCAGTATATTATACTTGAACTCCAGTATATTATACTGGAGTATAATGGAGTATTTTTTCGGTTTTTGAACAGTGTTTTCATTCAGATTTATCTTTACATGAAGTGGTTAAATTTTGATTACTTTAGACATTGTGGCTATTTTTGAATGATCACTTGTAAATCTAGCTGTTTTTGAATTTCTCCCATGGTAATGGGTAATCAATACAATTAATGCCCATAATGAATTCAAATTAAGTGTGAAAATCGTTTTTGGTTGTACGCTCCTATATATAAGGATAATGAATTTTATTTGTACGGACAGATTTCGATTACTACTAAAATATATTCTATTATTCTCTGCTTCATCAAAGTTTTCAGCCTTGATTTTAGGAATTGTTTGTCGATTAATTCCTTATTTCTCTTTGTCAATTTTCTCTATCGTTTTTATTATTTTTCTAAAAAACTATTGTGAAAGTGAAGTGAAACTTATTATTAGTAACCCATTTTTTTTTCAAATATAGGCTTTGACTGAGAATTTTTTTGATTAAACATAACAATCAAGGGTATTTTCTTTTCCTTTTTCTTTTGCATCTAACAATTTAAGTTCATTCATTTAGTTTTTAGATACATTATATAGTGGTTCTTTCTTTTGGGAATAAAACTAGAGCAAACTGTAAACCGGATTGTCAAATTCAAAGCAACAGATTTCACAAAACTTGAGGAATTTTCTCAAAGGCAATACACAAGAAGAAAGCATCATAATACGTCATCATCATCCTTCTTTCCTCAAATAGAACTTTCAAGACCTTATGGAGCTTTTAGCGGCTATGGAATCAGATGAAAAAAGAAATTCAAACCGTCTATTTTTACGGATACAATAAGAAGCATTCTCAATCGATAGGTCAAAGACAGAAACATATATAGTAGCAGTAGCATCTCTAATCTTTGAGAAAATCAAAGTCTTTTCCATATAATAGCGTCAACCAAATACCGAAACATCTTAGTAGACATTGAAGAGAAATCCCTAATAACTTCGTCACTCAAAAATGATTTGGCAACAACAATCCTCAAAGCATAAATAGTGAGAATTTGGGTACGAAAATAAGTGAAAAAGAAACAAAAAAGATATTTATGGAAATCCATTTTCCATATAAGATGTTCGACGATTTTCATCTTTCTTGATCAAATCATCATCACTCAATTCTAGAGGTAAATTTGCAATATGCATGCCATCAGGATCGAGATCTCCATCAAGGTTTAATCCTTCTATTCTTTTAGCAATTGCTTCCTCTTTCAATGGCGCATCAATATCTGTTTTACAAATAATTAAGAAGCAAGTTAATAGAAGTAATTAAAACCAAATACACAATTTCTCTAAAATAGAGAGCAGTACATAATTTGTCGGTCTCATGGAATTTGGGATGATCTCCTTGTTTTTTCTTTTTTCTGAGACACCCCACCAAGGGAAAAAGAAAAGGAGATTTCATTTTAAGGATCGAATCCGAAATCTTTGGTTAAAATTAGAGGTTATTTATAATGGTAGAACCATAATTTTCATTAAGAGTGCTAATTTTATATATAAGTCATAACCTTTGGTGGTTAAATAATAATATTCTTTGCAGTTTGTTATAGCTTCTCGGAAAGGTAACACTAGACCCTATAAAAAACAGTATATAACAACGAGTTTAAATTTTAACATTCGACAATGTAAATTAATATGCAGGTCATCTTTTCATCCAATTGCAAATGTTTTAAACTACGCAAGCGTCTGTAACTTGAAAAATAGTGAGTAGTTTGTAGACCCAGTCAATTACTATAAGAAATTATAATACATTCAGACAAATCAATAGAGAATATTTTCATAAAGTGTTTAATTAGGGTAAATTTCACAAATGATCATATAATTATAATTTTTTTCCCACTAAAATCATATAACTTTGTTTTTTTCACACAAAAATCATATAACTATGACATGTTTTCATTAAAGTCATATAACTTAGTTTTCTCACACAAAAATTATATAATTATGACCTTTTTTTTTTACTAAAGTCATATTACTTTGTTTTCTCACACAAAAATCATATAACTATGATTTTTTTTCTTACCAAAATCATATAACTATTTTTTCTCATACGAAAAATCATAAAACATTTACTAACTCACACCAAAATCATAGTGATAGGAAAATATTATTTTTCAGTAGTATTTTCTTATTTTGTGATTTTTTATTTTCTTATTTTCAGCCTAATAAATAATAATCTAATTAAAATAAAAATGACTCAACCGGTCCTGGCCTCCCCGACCCAATACTCATATATATAAATTAAAATAATACTAAAAGTGAATAGTAAATCCTTCAGTCCTTCAAACTTAACCGGCCGGACGAAAGTAATTGCATTTGTTAGCCTAATTAGTTTCGTCCGGCCGGTTAATTTTATATTTTTTCCTTAAATAGGAATGACCCAACCTAATGTGACCCAATACCCATATACGTAGGCTAAATAATACTAAAAGTAAATTCTTCCCCCCATAAAAAATTCAATTCGGAATGCATGAGATTCTGACAAAAAAAAAAGGAAATAAAAGATATAATTAGAGAGCACTTGAAATAAAAAAACTATAAATTTGAATAAAAATTTCGAAAAGAAAAATAAACAATAAAAGTATCATGTTTTGAAGGATTTACTATTTACTTTTAGTATTATTTTAATTTATATATATGAGTACTATTGGATCGGGTGTGCCAGGTCGGGTTGAGTCATTCCTATTTTAAATAGATTATTATTTATTATGCTCAAAATAAGAAAATAAAAAAATCACAAAATAAGAAAATACTACCGAAAAATTATATTTTTTGATCACTATGATTTTTGTTCCCCACATAATTTTAGTTGGAAAATTATTCTATATACAACAGAATTATATTCACTTATGGTCTTATAATCTTGTAGCCGTAAGTGCATCCACTCACGACGAGCTCTTGGTAATACTGTGGCCTTTAGGTGGTCATATCGTTCCTTCAAACTAGTTCATAATTGAATGGATCTTTTTAAGGTTAAATATTCACTTTTTAACCCTTCATCGAGATGATGGCGAAGGAAAATCATGGCTTTCGCCTTATCCTGACTTGATGCTTCATTTCCTTCTTTAATAGTGTCACTTAGACCTTTAGCGTCAAGGTGAATTTCAGCATCAAGTGCCCATGACAAATAATTATTTTCAAAGATGTCAACTGCCATAAATTAAAGTTTTGACAAATTCAACATAGTGAAAACTATCATAGAAATAAGTGAATTAGAATGACAAGAATTATTATCAATGAAAAATTCAGTGCAATACATAATCGTGTATTAATATTCTATATCTATAATTATCAAACAAACAATTATGTGCAATGTGATGATAAATTAGTGTTTAATATTACCCACAAAAACTTTAGACATGTAAGTATATATCCATAGAATAAATAAGTTGAATTAATATGTATTAGTATAGTTTTGTTCTACTTAGAATACGTTTCAATAAGGTAAGTAGGCATAAAACTAGATGATATCAATTCTGACAAGTTTCAACATTCAATACGATTCATCTAATAGTTAAGTCGTTAATTCTAAAGTCATTAATTTGTTTGTACGCTTAGGTGATAAATTTATTGAAGACACATTTAAACCTTTTGAAAATTTTGCAAGAATTCCTTCTAAATGCATATTCTGTTAGAATATTTGGATGTGGGCTTAATTAGTCTAATTATTGTAATTCAATTTTAATACTTATTTATTTATATGTAGGATTAAACTTCTTCATAGTTTATATAATGAGATAACAATTTAACTAAAACTTATTGTTTTCATACCAATGCAATTATTATAATCATATTCAAAACAAGTTATGCATATGGTAATTAAATTGCAGGTTAAAGAAGATCCTAATAGAAATGTTATAAACATAGGAATGTATACCTGAATCGGAAAAGAAACTGACTACCTCTTTTAGGAAGAAGATACAATTCGGATGAAGCAGATAACCTCAGTTGGTTAGAACCTCGTGTTGATAACGTATTAAGAAATGAGAGCAAAATAGAACAATATAGTAATAGAGACAAGATGTATAGGAGGAGAATGTAAAAGTTATCTTATTCAAGTATGTTTCTTGAGTGTTCTTCCATAGGCAAAGAATGTCTTATTTATACTATACAAGATACACCTAAAACTTCCTAAATACATCCTAGGAATTAATAGGTGCATCTATCCAAGTAGTACATTGTACAGAATGTATGGATAGATTAAATTAACATCCATATATATTCACTTTATTTATAACAAGTTATATGATTTTTGTGTGAGAAAACAAAGTTATATGACTAGTGAAAAAAAGTCATAGTTATATGATTTTTGCGTGAGAAAACAAAGTTATATGACTTGGATGAAAAAAGTCATAGTTATATGACTATTTGTGAAATTTATCCGATTTAATTAACATACTTATTAAATTATCATTGATGAAAATCTTTTTCTTTTTCCGCGAATCATTGAATACATTCTAATTGCTGAAACTTTAGTATTGTGTACATGAGTTTTGTGGTTGAAGCTTGAAACAAAAGTAGTTAACCATCAACACTTATAATCTAGTGTTATCCAATATCTATATGAGTCTCTCCACTACCTGAAAAATAGAAATTAGCGATGGAAAAACTTTTATAGCTAAACAGTAAATTTCATCAATAATCCTACTCCGCGATAGATTATTAAAAAATTCTATTAGCTACGAGCGATTTAGCAATAAATTAGCGACGAAACTCATAGCTAATTTTAATTTTTTTAGTAGTGCTCAGTTTAATTCTCACTATCCCCTTTCCTCTATCCCTTTTCTCAAATCTTCTAAAAAAAGATAACCAATACACAAAGTATCTCGGTTCATGCAGGATCCGGGATGGGCCGCATTCCAAGGGTGTAATGTAGACAGCCTATCTTAATGCAAGTATTAGTGGTTGCTTTCACGGTTCGAAGCCGACATGACCTATAGTTCGCAAGAAAACAACTTTTATCGTTGCTCCAACGTCCCTTTCTCCTCAAATCCTCTACTGTAATAAAAAAAAAAAGCCAAAAGAAAGAGTAAAGAATAGAAGATACCTGGATTAGACAAAAACCATAGGATAAATCCACACAAGAGCAAAACCAAAGGTATAACATGAACAGCATTCTCTGCAAATTTGGCACGAGATTTTTCCTTCTTAGCAATATCCGAAAGTGGTTCATGTATTGGTAATAATTCATTAGTTTCCAAAGACAAAGCTCTTAATGCTGGAGACACTTTTTGTGAGGGTGATGAATTTGAAGATGAAGAATAATAGCTATTAAAATAATCGTCTGAAACTCGAGTTGTACTCGATGATCTATACATCTTTAATTTTAGTGATAAGCTATAGTTTCCCTTCTACGTCGAATTTGTTAAATTTGAGATGAGTAAATGTTGAAAAAGAAGAAGAAGAAGAAGAAGAAAATAAGAGAGCCAAAAGAATGCCGAAATCAATGAAGTAGGATCTTGAACGGAGGACTTTTTCTAATGGAAATTTTGAGATTATGACAATCAATGTCAATATGGTAAATAAATAAAAGATAATTACAGAGTATATAGTTTAAGTATTACACAATCAAATCATTTAAAAGGTAATTTTTATTTCATAATATATTGATTGGTAGTCTAGAATATTGGTAAGTAACTTGTTATAACATGTTATCTTACCTTGATGAACATTTTAAATAATTCAGAATTAAATTAAAAATTTATAGTTGACTTAAATTATTACTGAAATTTAGAATTTCAAACAAGATTTCTTACCAAAGCTAGAGACTTAAAATTATTACTGAAATTTATAACTTTAAAAAGGTGAAAATTTTATTTTGGAGGAATCTCAAGTATTTCTTACCAAAGATGGAGTTTATTCCAAAAATTATATCTTTTAGTTATGGTTAGAATGATTATTAGATTGTTTTAATGTACATTCTTAAAATTAAATAGGGAAAATGCATAAGTATTCCTGACCTATAGTCGAATTTTCAACTACACACTTAAAATTTGTGGGGCTCCTATCCCCCCCCCCCCAAAAAAANTGAAATAACCTAACCGCGAAACTTCACGTGCCGGTGTAGGAGTGGATTGTAATTATTCCTCTTATTTTGGATGAGATTGATGTGATAAAATTCTTCCCCCCCAAAATAAATATATTTTACCCTTAAAATATCACAACCACATCTATGTTGTGTGGTAGAATACACACGCCTCTTGTTTTTTACCACTAATTTTTTTTTTCATTTTCGTTCAATCTTCTCCTTTCTTTCTCTGTTCTTTCTCTCGCCTCCATTATCGATAATCCCAAAAATCACCATTATCATATCTGTTTCACCGGACGCTATATCTTTATCATCTCCAAAAGAAAATTTTGATTTTCACCATTTTTGTTTTCACCAATCATCGTATTCATGACCTTCATCCCCCATAACCATAGAACTTTATTACATTAATACAAACATAATTCCAACTAACGCCGATCAATTAGAGTACAATATAAAAGAAAGATAGATTTTAAAAAAATTAAAGTCGTTGTCGCCGTCAGAAACAAAATTGTCGCCTGTGTTTTGATGCTCTCAAGTTCTAGAGTTGTCAAACCATCATTATCTTTATATTTTAATTCAATAGTTGATAGTTTGTACTGAGCCTTTATTGTTGCTGCAAAAAAGGGATGTACAGGTAAAAATAAAAGTAGAGGAAGACGAAAAAAGTGAGTTGGACTCCATTTTTCCGGGGAGGAGTTCGCCGGAGTTCTTGTGGGAATCCCTTATAGCGACTGGAAATAATTAAATGTGTTAGAGATTGTTTTATTAATAAAATATAACTAATTGTAAAGTATCCAATTGTAAAAAGACATATGTAGACATTTAATAAAAATTTAAGGTAGTTTTATGCTTTTACATGCCTTCAAGAAAGTGAACACACTTCTTATGCCACGTCATATATATANTAAAATATATAATTATTGTCATTATCATTCGATTTTAAATTTTTTGGAATTTAAACTAAGACCAACACATTTGTCTATCCTAGCTACAATATGTAGCAGAGGAACAAATGTCCAAAAGCGAACATCTATGCAACATCAACAAGATATTTTGATCATAAATATAAGGGATATTGTTACTTTTAAATAAAAATATGAACCCCCAAATTTATATTGATTATGTCTGCTAGATGTCCACGTTAATCTTACCTCTAAATAAAAATAGAACCTTGCATTTTAAGGTAGCAATCAACAAACTGAGTTCAAACATAGGGGAATTAGATTTGCTTCTTTGTTGTGTTGATACAAGTTCAAAGCAAATCTCTTAAATATGACACATGGTATATTAATTCGGGATTCACAAGGAATATAAGACTGAAAAGTGTTGGTGATTTGAAATTTATCTTTGTTATAATTTGAGTACACTCGATTGTTTTTTATCAGAAGAAATAAAATATTTGGTGAAAACTTAAAAACATAATGCAAACTGTTCTTTTTAGAGAAATTTTATAAAGCACTATCTTTTAGTGATAATTAGCTATCTATAGATAACATTTGCTATATTACGGATTGTAGATATGTTTTCTGTTGTTATAAGATGTATTAGATGTATTTAAGCTACTGTATTCATGAATACAGTAGCAAAAATAGGCGCGAACTAGGGAAATCCAGCTAATCAGTTGTTGTATTCGACTGTATTCATGGCGTGAAACATGGAATTACAGCTGGACATATTATTGTATTCGACTGTATTCACGGCGTGAAACAGGGGATTACACTGTTTTTAAATGGAAAGTGAATCAATTAACATAATAGACTCCTAATATAACTCAACAAACTCAATTATAACACACAAATTTTGTATTTCCGGTTATAAAAAAGATTCTCAACCAAAAAATACCCCCAAAAACATAGCAACCTTGAGAGAAATTATATAATACATCTGAATACATAAATTATATTAATTAAAAAAACATATGAATACATTCATGGAATATAGCGAGACAGTGAATACAATGAAATACATAGAATGCAGCGAGATACATTGAAATACAATGAAAAAAAGACAATGAATACAATGAAATATATGAAAATACAGCGAGATACATTCAAAATTATTAACAGAAAATTCAAGTTGCTCAGCCCCCAACTCCGTCGTCTTTGTTCAAGAACAACCCTAATGTCGTCTCGTTGAAGCAACATCAATATCCAGTCCTTGCTCGCCGTCACCGTTGCCTCCGGTTGCCGACGATTAGCATATAATTACCAGCAAAATAACGGAGGTTTTTATTGATCTGATATGTTGCATCAGAGAATGTGGCACGCCACTGGCCGTGAAATCGCCCGCCACTATGGTGTTGACGCCGCCCAATTTCTCCTTATTGAAAGCGACAGCTCGGGTCCATTCAAAAATGGTGAAGAAAATGTTAGAGATAAATATGATAGAGGCAAAGAGAAGAAGAAGGGTATGTGGGGGCTGATTAAGGCATTGAGTTGCAGTGGTGGTGCCTCCTACAAGGCACCATCAGTTGTCAAAGGCCTCCATTGGTTGCATTTCACTTGTCTAATATGGAAAAAAAAGATCGTTCAAGATTAATTTCATTGGCAATGTCAAATACAACCCAATTTTTGATTTATACATAATCATCTAGCAATAGTCGGAGAGAGAGGGGAGAATAGATATGGGGAAGGGGATAGGAGAAATTTGAGGGAATATGAAAAAGAAAAATAATACAAAGCTTATTTTATGACTTAAGGGTAGGAAGTAACTATAAATAAATATTTGGTTATAAAAAATCAAAAGGTAGCTATGAAATATAATTTTTTAAAAGGGTATTTATTTAATATAAATAAGATATTAACCTTTGTTATAGGAGGTAACTATTCCTTCTTTTTAATCATATGTATTACTTTTGGACCTCTAATTTGGGCACGGGCTCAGTACAGGCTTACTACGACTAGCATGCTTAATAATTTGAAATACTGTAACGGAAAGGAGTCGGACCCAAAACTGAAAAATATTGAGTTTCTTTTGTTTCTCATTCAGTGTACAGTACACATAATGGGCCGACTAATCCAAATTTTTGTTACATTGAAAGAATCATATTCATTGAAGAATAAAACGCTTCCAAACTAAGATTTTTTTCATTCTCAAGCCTTGTAAGAATCATATACATTCCATCATATTCGTGGCAGTAAAAAATGTCAAACAAAACTTAGCCACGCATGGTAACTGTTCTGGAAAAGGGCAGTTCGCGGCACTAAGCTCCCGCTATATGCGAAGTTCGGAAAATGGCCAGATCAAGAGTCTATTGTACGCAGTCTTGCCCTGTATTTCTACAATAACGTCTAAGGCTCCCCTTCGGTGGTCTAGGAAGTCTATAAAATGTCATTAATTCACATAACATGGAAAACATTATGCCTGTGTCGTCCCTCAGTACACTCATAAAAAAGGCTTTTCTACACATGCGTTTGCCAGAGTTTCACCTTCGATCGGACAAAGTAAAACCATACATTAGACAAAAAGGAAAAACCAACACTTCTATATACATCCTCAGGACACAACCAGAATTATTGAACTTCATAGAACAGAAGCTCATTATTTTCTTTAAATTGTTTTTCGAACATTCATCATATTGATACATATATTTCACATGACTTATTTCCTATAATTATCATGGTATGCTATTAAATATCTATCCCTATATTTAACACGTATTAAATTCATAATACACTCCTAGAATTTTATATTCATACAAAAACACTTGTACTCATCCAATATGTTTACCCATGATGATATCTCTCCCCTGGATTAATCGATGGCGCACGACCACTATTGTAGCCACCAGAACCACCATTTTCTCCGCCAGCACTACCACCACCACCACCAGTACCATAGCCATAGCCAAAGCCAGTACCCGCCGATCCACTCCCGGACCCAAAACCAAACCCCCAGCCCCGACCGAGCCCATCAGGCGACCTGCCCGAGCCTGAGCCAAAACCCCCTCCTCCTCCTGGGCTAGAACCCCAACCCCAGTTGTAATCCCAGTTAGGTCCATGAGCTGCACCACTTCCTCCACCGGCGGAAGAAGATGTTTCCGGCGAGGTCGTCATCTCCGTTCCGCCGTTTTCGTCACCGGTGTTGAAGCACAGAGAATGAGGTGAGATCAAGAAAATGATCACAAGAGTGAAATGGAAAGTCTTTGGTTGCATTATTATTGTGCTAGTAACAATATTGGCTTTTTTTCGTTGGGGCAAAGTGCTAAGGTTTGTGCATGGATATAGTGGGTATTTAACTATTTATGCACCCGTGACACTAAAGAAGCCCGTGGGGCCTTATAAATGCACTTGTCGAAAGAGAGATAAAGTGCACCTTCCACTCATGATTTGCACCGTCCCTTCCTAACTTTTCCTACGTACACTACAAAGTTTTTTTTGCTGTATTGGTCGTGTGAACAATTAGTACATGCACTTTGTTTTTATGTTGACATACGTTAATCTCCGTTCTAATTTATCTGAACCTGTTTTACTGGGTATGTAGTTTAATAAAAAATAAAGACTTTTGGAATTTGTGGTTCTAAACAAAACAAAAAAGGGTCCAGAGTATTTGTGTGGTTATAAAAGTTTCTCATTGAAGGTAGAATTTGAAGTTTAAACTAAATTGTTTTCAAATTTAGAAAGGGGTCATTCTTTTTGGAACGAACCCAAAAAGAAATAGGTTCACGTAAACTTGAACAGAGGATTTAATAAATTAAAAGTGCTCCTTCCCAAGATATTCTTTATTTCAGTCTGAGGAATAAAACGGAACGTGACAATTTTTAATTAAGGGTGAAGAAATACTCCTTCCGTTTATTTTTATTTGGCATGTATACTAAAAATAGATTTTCATTATTTACTTGTCACTTTATTTTACGCATATCAAGAAGAGAAGATAATTTTTTTTTATGTTATACCCATTATATTTATTACTCATTTCAAATTATTTTCTTAAATCCAATAAAAAATGCATCAATTGATATGAGTATCATGGTAAATTATGTACTTCATTTATTATTTTTTAAGGGACATGAAAAATTAAAACGTACCGAGTAAAAGTGAACGAAGGGAGTACTATTCATCCATCACATCTTTGGATGGTTCTTTTGTCTTGTTCTAGTAATATAGCACGCTAAGCATACTGCTTTCTATGGTGCAGTCATAGCACTCAGTTGGATTGAAGATCCTTTTTGCATGCTTTGGGCTCTATCCGTATACGTGGAGTAGTTCTAACCTTGTTTAGTGGATAAAAATTTGACTTATAACTAACTCATGTCACGAACAGATCCAAAAAAAAAGAAATATTAAAAAGAAAATTATCTTAAAAGGTTTATGTTGAAAAGTTATGGGATCTTGACACGTGCACAATTTTATAAATAATATCTCAGATAGATATATTCATGGGATACCAATGATCTTATTACTAGGCCGGCAATCAATTATTCGAATGCCGTGTTGCATCCAAAAAGCAGAAAAGGATCTCAATTTTATATCTACTCTTTTGGAAACAACCTCTTCTTGGACAACCACTAAAGGATTTGGTGAAGTAGATTGACTCCTTTCTTAACCAAGAGGTTTCGAGTTCGAATCATGGGTATGGAAAAATCTCTGGTAGGGAGCACTTTCTCTCGAATGGGACCCTACGTGGAACAAATCCGGATATAATCAGGCTCCAATGTCGGTACGGACACCGGATGGAAAACCAAAAAGAAAAACCACTTCTTGGACAGGAATTGTGATTGAATATAGCAAAAAAAAAAACAATAAGTTGAAGTTGCCTAACTTATTGCTTTTGACTTGTTTTAAACAGTTTTTAACTTATTTTAAATACTTTATAGCTTTGCCACACACTTAAAAAAGCTAAAAAAAGTTTAAAAACGACCAACTTAAAAGTCAATCCAAACACCCCTAATCGATTAAGTACCATTGTACCAATGCTTCTACTTCTACTAACATACAAACTTTAAGTGTACTTACTACAATCCCCTCTGGTGTATTTGATAGTTTTCCATAATGTTTAGTACATGCTTATAAATATAGCAATATTAGCTATGAGAAGATGAATCCATGGAATTGAAAAATGGCAATTTTATTTATATGGTTGACTCAGGAATATACAGAATTCCAGGTTATAAAATTAGACCATTCTTACAAGATAGGAAAATGTTCAACTGAAAAAAGAGGAAAGAACATTTAGCTGCAACAGAGACAAATACAATTATGCTTCCCACCCTCTTAATTGTGTGGCTCGGGCAACACGATTCACCCCCAGTGTAAAGGCGCCCATTCGAAGATTGCAGTTATGCGACTTACACATGTTCTTGAGATTATGAAAGGCTCTTGTCATGTATTTCTTAAGCTCCCTATTGACCTGTTCTTCGTCCCACATAAATCCTTGAATATTCTGCACGCCGAGAAAGAGATTACAACTGAGATCCACAATTCAAGAGCCCTCCGATCTTAACATCGCGGGCAGAGAACACGTAAATGTTTATGTTCTTTCAGACACGATGCAGGTTTGACGGAGAACTTATCTAAATACATCTTAATACAGGACTGGGATCGACAGAAGCTAACCATCCATAAACTCAAAATTATTTTATCTACAAGATTAAACGGGATTAGCTTTACATTATTGTCAGGAGACTAAAAAGGGCGTCCCGATGCACTAAGCTCCCGCCATGCGCAGGGTCCAGGGAAGGGTTGAACTACAAGGGTCTATTGTACGCAGCCTTACCCTATATTTATGCAAGAGGCTGTTTTCACGGCTCGAACCAGTGATCTCCTCGTCACATGGCAACAACTTTACTAGTTACGCCAAGACTCCCCTTCTTGTTGTGAGAAGACTCTCTTAACTATATAAAAATATGTGGAAAAACAACTTGACTTGATAGCGATTAGAGAATTTACTCTTACTATACCTTAGTAAAATATCATTAAGCTTTAAATAATATATAGTCAACATAACCCTAAATGTAGATTTGGGGTGTCACATATAGATGATATTTACCTGAACCCATTCAAAATAGCTAACAGTCACGCCTCCAGCATTGGCATATATGTCGGGAAGTATTACAACTCCTTTCTTAGACAAAATCTGCATAAGGATAGTAATGTGTTATAAATTGTTACCACGTAGTCTTAACAGATTTGAGAATCAATTTCTAGGTCTTACCTCGTCAGCATCTGGATCAGTGGGATGATTTGCCGCTTCTACTATGTACTTCGCCTTGACACTGTCCGCATTTTCTCTGCAGAAAAAAATCAGAAAAGACAAGATCATAAGGACAAATTAAAACACTTCCACTAAGTACAAAAAGTTCTATCTGATACTAATATGGTCTTTAATCAGTTCTGAGTTGGCTTTTGTCATCCTCAGAATATGCTGCCTTCACACTGCCCAGTTAATAATTTTTGACTCTCGTTAACGATGCAAATTGCCAGTTTGACTTCGCCTCTCTATCCTCAAGGTAGGGGTAATGTCTGTGTAAATACTACCCTCCCCAGACCCCACTCGTGGGGATCATACTGGACTTCTTTTTGTTGTTGTTGTTGTTAACGATGCAAATTCCAGGAATTAAACAATTTGGATTAATAAAGATGCAAATTTTGAGATGCAAAATGAGGTTTTGTACCTGTTCAAAACTCCTCCTAAAGCACAGGGTATAAGAACATCACAATCATGTGTAAGCAATTCATCTGAACTCATTGCATCACCGCCACTGAATCCAGCTAACGTCCCTGTTGCTTCTTTATGATTAAGCAATGCAGGTATATCAAGACCGTTTTGATTCTTGACTGCTCCTGTTATATCACTAACTGCAACTACCTTCCCACCTCTCTCATGAATAATCCTCGCTGCCCATGCTCCTACGTTCCCAAATCCCTTAACAATGCAAAAATACACATAAAACATCATTTCAACTGACGTTTGTGCGATAGCATGGCAGAGGAACGTAATGAAGTGTGCTCGAATTGAAGTAATGAGAGATTCTACCTGAATTGCAAAAGTCATATCCTTAATATGCTTCCCGTACTCAGCAAGTAAAGCTTCTGTAGCATAAACGACACCGCGTCCAGTTGCAGCTTCCCTACCCAACGAACCACCAAGATCCTGAGAAAAATAGTGAAAAAGGGTAACTAACTGATTAAATTCAGGACAAGTCCAAAATGTAATAACAAAAGGGAAGCCTGGTGCACTAAGCTCCCGCTATGCGCGGGATACGGGGAAGGGCCGGACCACAAGGGCCTATTGTACGCAGCCTTACCCTGCATATCTGCAAGAGGTTGTTTCCACGGCTCGAACCTGTGACCCCCTGGTCACATGGCAACAACTTTACCAGTTATGCCAAGGTGCCCCTTCCCAAAATGTAATAGCACTTTTGGAATTTAATAGTATACTGCAAAAGCTTACAACTGGTTTCCCGGTCACAATCGCAAGAGAGTGACCATGAAATTTTGAGTACTCATCCAAAATCCAGGCCATAGTCTGTAGTAGGAAAAGCATCACATAAGCACATTAGTTTGTTTTATATTCCGAAGCTTTTACAGAGAAGAATATGTTAACAAAGTTACATAAATAGAACTGTGTTACTAACCTGGGCATTAGTGCCCATATCAGGTGCAGGAACATCAGTATTAATTCCAATAAGGTCATGAATTTTCTGAGTGAAAACACGTGTAAGGCGTTCCAATTCGCTCTTACTTAACTCTTTTGGTACGCAGCCAATTCCACCCTTAGCTCCCCCATATGGAATATCGACTACAGCAGTTTTCCAAGTCATTAGTTGAGCAAGAGCATTCACTTCATCAAGATCAACCTTGTAACAGAAATTTAAACTATGTCAGCGCAAAGTCCATCTCTAGAAACAGCAAACCGCTGAAGTATATCATACTGAGGCAACCAACACAACCAGGAAAATCAAATAAATAACTCCACGGACTGGAATTTTACATTGAAATACAAGAATATGGTATTAATACACACCTTCAAGCAATCTTGAATTTGCCTAATTGATACTGACAAAGGAAGACTCGTCGCCCTTGTTAAACTACATAGTTAGTGAGAAAATGACATTGTTGATTTCTCTGTCTCTCAAAAAAACCAGCATCCGTTAAGACATAACTAACTTTTTAATGATTCAACAGGATTGCCTATCATCTTAGAATGCGACGAA